ATAAACGTGTCCTTTATCATAGATGGAGCCTCACTATATTTTTTACTGATTGCTGTATCTTTAAAATGGGAGGTTAGCCCAGCAAAACCAAAAAAAATCAACAAGATTGACTTTTAAACCAAGAATTTTTTAAAACAGTGCTGAATTTCCCTTCCTGCCACTGCCCCCAGTGAAGGGCCATACTGCACAGCCGGGTGACATGGACACATCGCCACCCACCGCATTTTGCCTTGTGCTGCCTGGGAACCACTGAGCTGGAATACAGGAAAAAATACAGGATTTCCGTTTTTAGCATTGTGAACACTTGCCTTGTGTAGCCAGGGTACTTAGGCTAGCTGCTTGCTATAAGATTCATATTTAAATATAAAAATAGGGCTCCTGAATCATTTTGTGCTTAGAAGTACAGGCAGGATAAGGCCTGGGAATCATGGGTCACTGTCTTTACGCTGCAGCATGTCTCACTCATCTGCACGGTCCAATCGTTTACAAGTGAAACATTTATCAAAACCTCATTACTTTGGAGAGGATGGGAGTTCATGGATTATAAACCTTAATTTATTTTTTATATCTTAAATTATGGTGCCATATCTAAGCCATAAATTTTTACAAAACAAACCGCTGATGCATTTGAAAAACGTGAATAACCACTCTCAGCACTGTGACAGAGCAGTGTTAGAGGGAGTGTGCAGGTGTGTGGGGCTAGGATGGCAGAGAGGTGGTGATGGCACATTGCTTATGGAACTGCTGCTCCTGTTGTTTTTGCAATAAGATGCCCGTACTTATGTGGAGGAGAGGAGAGAAGGTTAATGATATCGGTTCCTGGGAATACAGGCACTCCCCAGTGACTGAAAGGGAATATTCCTGGATTCACCAACGATCATCATTTCACTCCCAGGTGTCTGCTAGCAGAAAGACGTGCCTGTCTGCTTTCTGTTTAATACCATCACAAAGTCATGATTTATTAAATGGTGTCAAACTTCTTGACAGTCTTTCAGCCTGTGCTCTGTGGGTTTCGCTCTGTGGTGTGGGAAGCCGAAATGGCTGTTGGTGTACAAGACTATGATCCTGCAAATCTAGGATCGCGCAGTTTATTTCAGAGACTGATCTTGCCAAGTTTTGTGTGCCACTTATGGGGAAATCTTTCCCACTGAGACCACATGCTTTTTGGGGGGAGACTGACAAGCCCCTTGAATCTGTGCTAGATAATGCCCGTAGCTCCCAGGACAGGGCTCAGGAGATTTATTCAGTCGTATCATTTATAAGAGGTAGGGTTTGCTAAAGCATAAGAAGGATAGAAAGCTCAAAAACTGCATCGGAAAGATTTGACAAGTAAAGTAAAATGAAATACAGCCATGAAACCTGTGATTGGAACAAGGGTGGGAGTCAGCACCGAATTAATTTAGCATGACTACTTCATTAAGTATATGGATAATAAGGGATTGTTTCTGTAGTATTTTATTCTGCATAATTTTATTTTATTCGGTATTATTTTTGCCCTGGTTACACTGGTCGTTTACAATTGGACTCTTCCTCTAATACAGTCAGAATAGCGTTGTTTCCAGAGATAAGAGACGCAGAGTGAAGGTGATACAGATCGATAATTATAAATACATCTTCTTTGTTTCATGGTGTGGACAGTCTTCCCGTGAAGGTCACTCTGACAATGCTCCAGGATGTACTTGTGGAGCTGGTGACTTGTGCAACAAGAGGCCGAACAGCGTAATCAGATCTTACATCTGGGTGCTCGCTGTCAGGGTTTCAGGAAACTTCTTTTGCTCCATGATAGACCTGTTCTCACTGAACAACGGGAAAAGCCTATGTGACTGTTAAAACAAGAGTGGAAAAATATGTATCTGGAATATGCATTGCTTCGTCCTGCCAAGCCAAGTGTTTATTGTGGACGCCAGACACATCTGTCCTCCTCCAACAGATATCATGGTGTTTCTTGGATTAAAAAGGCCGACTGTAGTGGAACAGTGGAAGAAATTGCTTCAGAAGACTGACTTATTGGAGTCCTGTGTCATATGGACCCTGTCAGAAAAATATTAGCTGCAATAAAAGCTGACACTTGGGGAGATGAAAGCAATATTGCTTGCTGTTGTGATTACCTTTCTGGCAACATGCTCCAGGTGGGCAGTGGGGAACTGAGTCCTTGCTTCGTTTGACCTGGGCAGTCAATGTGATTACTTTGGGGATTTTTTTTTGTTTTGTGTAATAAAACATCTGTAATAAAAGTTTTGGGAAAGAAACTGGAGACATGGATTGCAGACAGCTATTTGGGTCAAGGGGTTAGGTTTTTGCCAGGCTCCAGATGGGGACGGAGAGGAGGACAGGGGCTGGAAGCGGTTCTGAAGCTGAATCCGTCTACATTGCAGAGGCAAAAAGAACAGCATCAATTTAGCGAGCTGCACCTGATCTGCAGTTTGGCACGAGAGAGGCTGATAGATGCCTTACTCCCTGTATGGGGTATTTCTGAGAATGCTGCTTATGAATGTGTGTCTGTTCTGAAAACTTGCAGTAAGTGTGAATAACAAAACTCATTACACTGTCTTTGCATTTTCATGCCCTTGCAGATTTACTGGAAGATCTTGGAAAACAGCAGCTTTGGCGGAACAGTTTAGTTATATCAAGGATAAGGAATTCTTGCTGGAAACTTGACAGGCACCGAATCACTTTCTTATATCCAGTCCTTTCAGTTCCTTCTGGGGATAGCCTTACACTTGCTGTGGACAGTTTTATGTGTATGGCATGTTTTAATGGTAGATAAAACCCCAAACAAACCCCACAAAAGACCAAAATCGCCCTTCCCTTGTGTGTCTGGCTTGTTTTTGAACAACGCTGCCCAGTTCAGGTGCCCTTCCTCATGCACGTTGCGCCAAACACATGGTTCTGCACCTTCTGCCATCAGCTGCCTGGCGTATTAAGAGTGAAAACACTGAAGCCGAGAAGAGTTTTGTGATTGTTTTCAGACTGAACTGGAGTTACAGGCCTGGTGGTCATTCAGTATTTTTGCAGTACTGATATGGCATGTAGCTGATGGGGGGAACGGTAAATTGTCGTGACCAATGTAACGTGTTGACAGTCAGGTATTTAGTGATTTACATTAAGCACACGTTACTGCAAATGGGCAAAATGAGGAAACTGTAGCTTTTAATGTGCCAGATTAATTTGATAGACATCGAAGTCCATGCAAAAATCATCAGATGCTTAGCATGTATCAAACAATACTTGCACATTATTTGATTTTTGTTTCTTCCTGAAATAAGATTTACCTCTTCGTTTATACAGCACATAAGGGTTACATTATAAGTTAACCTAGAGTGTGGCCCAGCGATTTGTAAAGTATATGGGCTTAAAAATAACCCTGTTATGAAATAGGATATGATGCAATACAACAGTATTACAGCAGCTTAGTAGTGCTTGTTCAGAAGAAAGCAAATTATGATAATTTTCTACATAATAATGGATACACTACCACTCTTGGTTATTCCTGGGCCCCTCAGGTCCTAGAAAAAGGAAAGCCAGACCTGAAGCAGCCTTACATTGCTCTTCAGATTTGCAATTCAGTGATGATGTCCAGGATCCTGCAGGGTGTATTTAAACACAGTGCAAAGCTGAAGGGCCGGTTCTGCAGAGTGCTGAGTGCCTTTAACTGCATTGAAGCCAAGGTGTGTCAGGGTGCTCAGCGTCTCCTCAAGCCCCCCCACCATACCCTGAGGCCCACAGATTTCTTTCGGTGCAAGAAAGCTGCAGGATGGGTGCAACCAGCGAATCTGCACTGAATACTCTGCGCTGGAGGGAGGTTTATGCCCCAAGCTGGGGTGGTCCTGCAGCTGGCTACAGGCACCGACAGCACCCACAAGCCAAGCAACGCAGGGCGCGGGTGTTAAACTGCGGGGTGAGGGCTCTGACATTTTCCAGTAACTGGCATCAGTCTACCGAGCACGGTCCACATTACTGCATCTCCTCCCATCCCTGTCCTGGCTGGGGCAGGACCAGCCCTCACGCCTGGCTTTCCAAGCTGAAAATCTGAACATCGAAACATCGATGCTCTCCAACAGCACTGTCAAAAAATGGCTCTCCAGTCTATTTAAAAATCTTTTTAATTTCAGTTAAAATACGTTAACATTTTGCTTTTCCCTATGCTTTTGGTTTCGAGTGAGAAGATAATTTCATGTTACTGTATTTTTTTTCCAGAAAAGCAGATAAGTTCTCTGTTCCTCTACAAAAGCTTTATGCCACAGTAATTGAAGATATCCTCCAGGTTAGAACATCTCTGCGTGTAAAACCTCTTTGAAGGTTTAAATAGACTGTAACTGAGTTTTGACATGTATTAGCACGTGTCAAGTACAGCAGTTGTTAAGGGTAGTGGAGACAAGCCACATTCCATCTCTCCAGTGGCTGACTCGCAGGTGTCCGGATCACTACAGGCCACAAGCGGGCAAAGCCACTAAATAAAATCACCCTTTGTTGCAACAAGCATTAGAAACTCCCTTTCCCAACAATTTCAGCAATAGTGAACAACCAGGCGAGGAATAAACTCTAGCTGCTGTCTTACAAAATCACATCCCAAGATTGTGGCTGGGAAAATTGCCTTTTTATTCCTTAATGATGTAAACCTTCTCTGCGTCTCTTCTGAGGTTCTGCATCCACCCAGAACATATTTTAAAATTATATTGAAGCATCCATTTGCACAGTGTGATGTGCATTAGTTAAATACGAGTTACTGAGTTCGGTCCTTTTGCTCTTCTCTTCTGTGTGAGCTGAATCTGCCTGCATCCAAACAATTCATAAGAGGGAAATCGTTTGCCATACTGATGGATTCTTTTTATCCTTTAATTCCTTTCGTTGGTATATAAGGAATTGACTGAAATTGTCATCTCTCCCATGGCAGAACTGAAGGAGTATGACATGCAAAAGGAAATACTCAGCACTAAATACTTTCTAGAGCGTAACAGGTTTAAGCAAAGCCAACTGACCTTCTGCGCTTCCCTCCCCAGGGCACAGCTTCTGTCCTGCAGCGCAGATCTGACAACGAGGAGTACGTCGAAGTTGGAAGACTTGGTCCATCAGATTATTTTGGTAAGAAAATTCAGCTCAAGTGTGGTTCAGAAAGACAGGCACGTGGAGTTGTATCAAGTAGTTATTATCTTATTTAGTGTTCTACTCTTTTACAAATGAGGGGTTATGTGTAGGTCAGCCGCTGCTTTCAGCGATACCGGGAGATTTCAGTGAAGCTGAAACCATTCCTTGGTTTGCACCAGCATAGCTGACAGGAGACAGATCCAGCACCAGCAAAACAGTCTGAAAGCATTTGTTTTCAAAGGCATTTTACACGCATGCATTATGCATGTGTAATGCATTTGTACTGTCAACAGAATTATGTAAAGTGTCTATCAAGTGGTATATAAAGGGAGATGTTCTACAACCAAAGTGACTGGATGGTGGTTAGAATATGCACCCGCCGAAAAAGAGGCACAGGATGTGTGACAGCAAATTTATCCCTATTTCCAGGTGAGATAGCGTTGCTTCTCAATCGGCCCCGGGCTGCTACGGTGGTGGCACGTGGACCTCTGAAGTGCGTAAAGCTGGATCGGCCCCGCTTCGAACGAGTGCTCGGTCCTTGTTCCGAAATCCTGAAGAGAAACATTCAGAGATACAACAGTTTCATTTCGCTCACCGTCTAAACGATTCCTTGCAGAAAGCTGCCTTTGTGTGACCCCGTGCACTTCAGTTTGCTCTGTGCAGCTCCATAGCTTTATGAAGAAAAAAAATAAAAGGTGTGCATTTTATATGTATTTTTTCTGTTGGTGTCACGTACTGGATGTCAGTTCAAATCTCATGTATCATGTGAGTAGGAAGACAACTGTTTGGGTAAGACTAGCTTTGGGGAGGATTAGGCTCTTGGCCTGCAGGCAAGTTTTCTACCTGTTGTTGGATCATATAGCTTAAAACTGTGGTTTTAACTATTTAAAATCCATATGAATTACTGTCTCCCTTATCGTCTTTGAACTTGGTCTTACTCACCTTCTGTCCAGCTGCTTTGAGCACGCGATGTCCCTCTGCCTGTCCCGTGTAACGGGCTTTTCACAGCTGGTGGGCTGGAGGTCGCTGCAGTCCCGCGGGGTGAGCGGCAGTCGCGCAGCTGAAGAGGGAAGGTTGGAGGAAGGGTTCGATCATTCCAGCAAGGCAGGGAAAATCTTTGGAGTCGTTTTGTTTGTGGCTTTGCTATAGGGGCCATACTCCTCCGTGCTACAAGCAGGCCAAACAGCCTGCTCCAGTCTTCTGGGTGAAGAGGTCAAGGAACAATGTTTTGCAAGAGTTCAGATGGAGCCTTTAGGACTGAAGTTATTCGTCCTCAGCTTTTTTTAAATGAGGGATTGCATTAGATCCCTGAAAAGTCCAACGGGAACTTCTCTGCTGAATTAAGTGGGCTTAATTTACCTGCAGCAGAGTGTCCTCAGCCACTTCTCTGAATGTTACCTGAAATGCTGAAGAGATGGTGCCAGGTGGACATCAGGGGCAACAACAACAGTTTGTTTTTAATAAGGTCCACTTAATTAAATTCAAATGCCTTTCTTTTAGTATACGATTAAATTTTTAGGATTTTTTGTAGGATTTTCTGAAAGCCAGAATACCTGCTTCAAAATACTGCCTCTCCTCCAACAGGCAGGTAGTGCAGAGCAGAAGCCCCAGGACCTCGCCAGAAGCTCCCAGAGCCCGGGTCCCTCGCGGGGCGAGCAGCCTCGTTGGCCATTGGTGCTGCCCTGCCTAGGCACGGCTCCGCTCCCCAACGGAGCTTTCTGCAGACCCAGACCTTCCTCGGCTGCGCAGCCCTCGAGGATGGGAGCATTTAGATTACTCTTTGCGAAGCTTGTCCCTTGAAGGAAAGCTTGTCTTTGCTACCAGCAGCAAAGGCCTGTATCTCTGCTGCCCAAAATAGCACTGCCCGCTTCTCAGTTGTGGCAAAGCTCTTATTTCTTCTTTATGATAACATTCCTCCGAGGAAATCGGAACTTTCTGTACCTTTGGCATGCCAAAGGTTATGCAATGAAATAAGGCCTCAATCTCCCTTCGGAAACTAGGTTGTTAGTGAAGAACATGGCTAAAATGACTCCTACTGACATGCTTTCTTCTTTGGAATTAACAAAAACTAACTTGGGACTTTCCTACCGACTCCAGCCAAGAGGGCCCCATATCCCAGTAGCTGCCCACAGTGGTTTTTACAGAGCTGGCTGCTTCTCGGCTGCGGACTCCTCTCATCACTTCGAGGTGCTTAATTTATTTCAGCAGATTTTCGGTGGTCCTGTCAGTGTATATTCGTTGCTACTATTTATTATGATTATGTTACGCTTCTCGCATGTGTTATTAAGTATGACCATTCACACTTTTCAACCTTACAATTTTTATCACATACATTTATACAGGCAGACCCCCATTATATAGGTAGATAAATGTATATGCATTTGCAAAACTTTTGATTTGCTTCACTGTTTTTGTATTCTCTTGTGCAATTTTTAAAAGAAATATTTTTTAAAGGTTACCAGTCAGTCATGTATGTTCTTTTACCTATCGCATTTCTGTTGTATTGGTAAAAAACTGTGAGTGTTTTGCCTAATACGCACCATACGTTTCTTGTGAAACACCCAGTGTTCGCTGCACTGTTTAGAAGTTACTGGAGCACACACACCCCCCACAGATTCTTTGCTCTAAACCTTTGCAGCTCATGGAAAATACATTTGAATTATGGTTCTGTTGTAAGCAATCTCAAGAGAAGTGTAACCATTTAACACCGGGATTCCTATGCTTTAAGTGGAACAAAATGATATTCAATGGCATTTTAAAGATAATTGTAATACTTGCAGTGGATGATGAGACAGCACTACAGTATGAATAAAATTCTTCTACATTGTATGTGGCCATTGTGGATTTATTATAATGGAAGTCTGTATGAGTAGAAGTCATGTTCTAGTCAAAGTCTGCGTATCATAAAAGGTTTGAACTCCACTGAAAATAATCAGATGCAAAGGGGCAAAAAACAGACCAAGAATCCCAGTGCTATATATAGTAATGGAAACCAAACTGGTTTTCTGGACGATTAGCGTGAAGAAAAAAATTTCTTCTGTTTAAATGTCACCATATATGTCTCTATAAAGAAGAAGGGGTCCAAGGTGTCTCTCAGACCTTCGTGGTGGTGTTCAGATGCATTGAGCACGTGGAACGTGAAGTACATGAGCTGTCTCGCTGGTCGTGGTGACCCTCTGCAGAGCTTTGCAACCCACAGGAGAGCTGCTGAGTCTCTTGTACAGCCGGCAGGAAGACCTGGGGAAGAACAGTCTCGTTCTTTCTCAAATACCTGTGCTGCTCCTTTTTCCCCCAGTATGGTAGACAAAGCCCACACTGGGGATCTGTCCCAGTCATTCCTCTCAGCTTCTGGCCACGCATGGGTTTGCAGAGGTGCAGCTGCCCTGGGACTGAAGCACAAAGCCATTTTTGGCACCAGAGATGTGCTGTGCTGCTGCCATGGCTTGTGTTCGTGCTGTGGGCTGGCCAAGAAGAACCACCCTGAGGACAACCTTCTCACAGAAGGCAGAGCCTCCAGAGGAACCACCTGTATCTCCTGCATCGGGGGGAATGGGTGGGTTGAAGGACCGGAGAGCATGGCCGCTAGGTGAGGAAGAGTGTGCAGCAGGCTGTGAGTGCCATGCTGCTGCCGGTGCCCTCCGGAGCTCTGCGTGGCCACCCAAGCAGGTACGCTGCGGTCCGAGCCTGGCTCTGGTGCTGGAGCCGTCGCCCCGAGCAGCATGCAGGGCTTGAGGGCTCACTCCGGGCAGCTTCTCTGCAGTGGCCCCCGGACAGGAATCTTGGGCGGCTCCCGGCATCCGAGGGCTGTCCAGCTTTCCATTTTTGGAGTGTGTTATTTTTCCCCCCTTTGCTATGATTCAGGCGGGAAGGACTCGTCTTTCCAGAGAATTACTCACATTATGTAGTAATCTAAAGTGACCACTCTCTCTGAGGTTCTTCCAGAAGGACATTACCAGCCCACACTCCCCAGAAAAGAGCATCTCACCACTCCTCATTGTCATTCTTTTTTCGGTTGGTTTTAATTGTGTCGCAGCCATTTCAGGAATCCCAAGACAAAAGAAAAGACTATTTTTTTTTTAATAGAGACTAACTGTACCTCCAGGTTTTTTACAAGGCCCGTGTGGCTGACCAGGCTTTAGTCTGTGCATCAGGTTACCGTAAACTCTCTCACACGCTCCCACAGCTTGGTGGCAACGGATGCCTGAGTTCTGGAGTCGTATGAACCCCCCGAATCCTCAATCCTCAGCAAGCCCAGCTTGACACCACGCTGCCTGTTCAGGTGTTGGTGGAAAACAAGAGCTGTGGCAGAGAACCAAGTAATCCCAGCGCACGCCAGCTTGGTTGCTGGCTGCTGGTTCGTTTTCCTTGCGGTGGGTGGTCTCCAGAGGTGGATCCACCGCACAAAGCATGGTGTTTCCTCTGTTGTGAAGGTTGCACACCAGGTGCGTGCATCACATTCAAGTTTGAAGTCTTCAGTGCTGCATAAATCCTTTCACTGGCCTGCATATGGAAGAGATCCTGTTTGTTCTTCATGCACATTTCTGCATAGCAGCAGCAGGAGAGAATATTACCTTGTGCAGAGAGAGAAAACCGTGATGATCTCCTTAAAGAGAGCCAGAGATCCCACTGCCTGCTGCTCGTTGCTGTGCTACAGCAACGGCAGAGTAGGAAGGCAATTTTTTCTTGTTGCACTGTTGACCCAGTGAGCACTCGCAGGTTTAAAAGCAGTTCACACTAGATACTTCAAAGACCAGCTCACCATTCAGAGACCAAATGACCTACTCTTACATTCCCCAGCATGTTTTTTTAATTTGTTTCTAATGATTTGGCAACTCTGACGAGCTCGTTTTCTCCTTCTTCAAGTGCACATGACTGCTCAGAAACCCGTGAGAGTGTTTCCACAGCCAGAGTTGCTTCTGTAGGTCCCACTTCCCTCTGGAGAAGGAGAACGTAGTTGGATGTGAGCGTGTGCACAGCCTTGAAAATCCAGAGTTACGGGAATGCACTGGCTTCGCTGCTCCTCCTCCTCCAAGGGTTTCTCTGTGGCTCTCTGCTGCTCAAAGGAGTTTTATTGGGGATGAAGCACTCGCACAACGAGCTGGCTTTTGTTCTGAAAAAGCTGCCTGGCCAAAGGGGCTGGCATCTGCTGCCATCTGGTATTTTTGCGAAGGCTGAGGATGTTTTTGGTGCTTGATCAGGCTCCAATATTAGCGTGATTCTTCTAATGGCTAAAAACCTGGATTCAGCTTTTAGAAAAGAGGCTGCACTTTGCCTGGGAAAGGAGAGCAAAGCATCAGCGTCTCCTCGGGCGTACTCTGACTCCTAGCACAGAAGCACATGGGTAACTCTTCCCCTCTGAGTGCTCCAGCCCCTCCCCAGCCGTGTTTTAATCCTTGTTTTCAAGTCACTCTCTGCATAAGTACCGCAGAGAGCCTCCGCTGCCCAGGCAAGCTGCGACTCACGGCCCATCCTCCTGTGCTTGGGCAAGTTGAAGTGTGCAGAGTTCTCTTTAAAAAAAATTGTGAGCTCTCCTGGAGGAAAATCATCATCATTTTACCCAAGAAGACTGCTCCTGTTCCAGTATAAACTGTCTCCAAACATGGAACAGCAGCGTGCCATGTTGCTGCACGGGCCAGCAGTGCTGAATGAATTGGCAGATGCTGCGCTGCTGCGTGATCTCTGGTAGCTGGGCTGCGAGAACGCTGCTCCTCTCCACTCACAGCTTCGGTTCGAAGCCGAACCAGTTGATTTGCCAAAAAAGTGTCCCTCACCCAAGCCCCGATGGGACAGAGCAAGCCTCGCACTGCCAGGACTCGCCGGTGCATGCACCTTACCCTCAGTGGGTGCTCACAGCCTCCGCTCTTTGCAAGAACTGGCAGGTGGAGATGGGACGTATAGACTGATGATGAGGTAGGGATTTTCTCACCACTGCCTGCTGTCACTCGCGCTTTGG